CAGCAACGGCTTCGATTTTTGGCCAGTCGGCTATATCGGAGAGTGTCACTGTCCACTGTTTCTCCTTTGTTCGAGCTTTAATTTCGTTTCACCTTGAGGTCTTGAATTCTCTTCTGATTAAGGTCTTCATTGTGTGGAAAGACATCAGCCGGTCCATGCATTGCAAAATCGTTATCCCCTTCTTACCAAGTGTGTCAGCAAGCTCATTGCCCTTAATGCCACAGTGACCAGGAATCCATTGTAGGACCACTGTTTTGTTTTTCTCTCTCAGCAGCTCATAGAGTTTTCTACATTCCTTTATCTCAGCTGTTTTGGGTGTCCCTCTGTTTCCGATTGAGTTTATTGCTAACTGTGAGTCGGAAAGTATCACTGCTTTGGTGAATTTAGTATCCAGACAACATAATTGTCATAGTGCTATCCTAATGGTCTCTATTTCTCCTTCAATAGCGGATCGATTGTGTCCCACTGCTGCGTAGAAAGAGAAGAGTTCAGAATAGACACCTGCACCAATGTTTGCTTGGTTTTCTATGAATGGTCCAACAGTGAAGACTTGGAGCCAGTGATCTCCAGGATAGTTGACATTGATTGTCTCAAGGGCCAGTGAGCGCATTTGCTCTGGAGGGGTGTTTGATTTCCTGAAGAAGTCGAGCAGTTGGGTGCGACAAACTACATCAATGTCTGCTAATGGGTTCATGGGGGGAGAGAGGTTTTTTGGTTTGTCATCGATTTGTAATGCGTTCTTCAGTTCTATGGCTTTCTGTATTAGACCAGATTGTGTTTTCAGATGCCTTGGTCTATTCTCATAGGTGCTGAAGAACTTGTCCATGGGAATACACAGTAGCTTCTCATGCAGGATCAAGTCCTTTTATTTGATAAGGGAACATTTTGTGGTGCTTCCTGTAACTAGGAGCATTGCATCAATGGGTGTTGATTTTATCCCTCAAGTAATTAGTCGTAATGCTTGATTGTGTGCCTTCTCGAGTGGTTTGAGAGTCACCTCTGTGGCTGTAATGAGTGGCTCACATCAATACAACATTATTGGCTGAATAAGCATCATGTAAGTGGTGTTGAGAGTTGAGCGTGCACAGCCTCATACGCTACCAGCAAGACGCTTCAGTACATTCAGTCTATTGGAGACTCGTTCTGCTATTTTAGCAATGTGACTTTTCCATGTTAGCTTCGTGTCAAACGTCTTTCCGAGACAAGTGGGCTCATTGGTTTATGCTGTGACGGGCCAAAGAAAAAGTTTAGTTGAATATTGTACCATCGTACGACTTTGATATTATAAACCGGTACTTATTAATAGAGTCATTATTCAAAATTTCAATTCCAGGTCAAGTACAAAACCTAACCTTGAGTTCACAAAACAGTAAAATTTCTCAGTATAAAAGGAAAATGGTAGGAGCTCCTAAAACTAGGTACTTAAAATGTGTACACGAAGGATCATGTCATCGACAAAAATCATGGATAACATGGAAGTGGCTTATATGTTCATTATTGTGCTCACTTGTGTAAGATTAACTCATTATACATAATTTTATTTTGTAGTTTATTGGCATTATTGTTACTATATTTGGCGTCGTCGCAAAGCCAAACCATACTAAATATCTTTCCAGGGACGACTTTAAGACATTCATGGACTGCGTTGTTGCTGTTGGAATCCTAAACGTATCAATGTCACTGGCTGTGCCTCTTGGTTCATGTCGTAATAGAATGAATGGTTTTGCTGCAGTAAGTACATTTCCTCCCTAACCTTAAACCATAAATTAGGGAATGAGTTTTGAGGCGTAGACTTGCATTCTCATTAACTGGCTCAAAACTCCGTGTTTATGTGCTATCAGTGTTGGAATACTAAATATCGATATATTTCAATAAAACTGCTTTATTAAATTTTGTGTCAGTTTAAGTAAACGTTAGAGGAAATAGTGATTAGCCTTTGTTGGTCACCTTAATCTCTGAAACGCACTTTTCATTTTCATTTTAATTTGAATAAAATATCCATGTGAGATGTTCGTTTAGAACATACTTTGAATAAAGTTTTATTAAGCCATTTAATGTGGCAATAAATATTCGATCGGGTTGCACAGTTCACAGGTTGTGCCCAATTTGTCTAGCCCCTTCAATGTGCTTGTAAAATTCATTTCAACCCATAAGTAATTTTCAAGAAAATTGCTCAAAGTTTCACTGTTCTTCATAGAGATTGTTCTGATTTCTCTTCCAACTTCATGGTCTCATGTTTCGCCATTCACGCTTAAATTATCTGTTGGCAGAAGAGTGTGATCAGTGAAATTGGGAAAATTCAAAGAATGGTTAAATTTTTCACTATCTAAGAATGATTTACCCTCTATAACCAATCACTTACTTGTTATTTCCTTTACAGAACTTAGCCGTGGGTGTCATCACCACTATCCTTGAACTAGTGCTTGTAATTTTATACTTTCGGGAATTTACAGAATACGGAGTGGCCTTAATAGCACTGATGGTCATTAATGTCGTCAATATGGTACTTGGAGGAGTGCTAATTAAAAATTGGAACAACACATGGCGAAATTATCCGGAGGAAGGTTAATTACTAAAAGGTACAAAACTTTGGGACGATATTGATTAATACAACCGAATCCTGTGTATGCAAAATATTTCTAAATTTACTTTCAAATTTCTTTCAAATTATTGTCACAAAAAATATAAGAATTACAGAATAAAACAGTTGTTAAAGCGTTCCTTTTTAATAATAACCAAAGCACTGTGATGCGTATTGATGCGTACATGGAATGAATCCACCCCATTTGACTCATTATCCATGGCAATCTTCACTTGGCTGTATGTTCGTCAAAAAACCTCCAATTATTTAATTTTGTTTTAATGTTTTTCTTTCCTTACGAAGAAAAAGTAGTAAATGATCATTTTGAAAGATGCAGATTTTACAATTTCTGAGTAATTATTGATGAACATGTTTTGACGAAACTTTGCAAATTGACTAACAAAGTTCATGATCCAAATTTAGTGGGCCGAAAAATCCGTGAATGTTTGAGTCAAGTAATTAGTGCGCGCTAATGTGAAGGCCTACTATGAATCGACTCACACATCAAGCCATTTATTTGACAGGTTGACTAAAATTACATGAGAAAGTGGAAAGAATCAATAAGAGGAGGAACGAGGGATGGGAAGAAAATTGAGAGTCTTGTGGTTGACATGTCGTCTAAATTTTGGTGGCGAATTGGTGCTATCGCGAATCGGGAAAGCATAAATCACTAAGCAATATTCCTTAACTAAACATCTAAAAAGAATTCAAGTAAAGACCAGAAACACAGTAATGTTTTCATCAGCAAGACGTCAAACAATGTTATGAAAAAACAATTTGACGAAACATTTGAAGAACCTTTACATGCTTTCTGGCACACATCTTTTTTTGTTGAATAGAGGGCCCACAAATAATGAAACTGTTTTGGACAAAGAGGCCATAATCGCAACTGAAATCTAGTGGAAATTCCAATTTTCGTGCCTTCCCTCTCGTGTGCTTTTTAACCGTTTATTAGTACGAATATGTAATATCTGGCACAAAGACAAAAGGTAAGATTGTACCTAAAAAGTCTCCTCTTCACTTAAACAAAATATTAAAATTATGAGTCATATTTATATTTTATGAAAAATTCGACTCGTATTTTTTGCTTTTACTACCCAAGTCGAGCAAATCAACAAAGTATATCAATTCTGAGTTTAGTAAGTGCGGAAAAATATTTATTTATTTATTTCAAATGGCAGGCGTTTTGATAACTATCATTAGCCCTTTAGCTGACTTCAGGCTTCATAGAGAGGAGAAGGAACATTAAAGTGACAAAAAGTCGAGAGGGGGGGGGGCAGAATAATGATTCACAGATGTGACAGAGACAAACAAAAGAGCAGAGAAAAGGTAAGATGAGTACTATTAAAGTGGTCGAATTTGACATACAGTGGGGTCATGGTGGTTTAAAGTCAGAAGCCAACTGCCGGTTAATAGACTTTTTTGCCG